CTGACCCTAGTGGCCTGTTCAATCGGGTTAGGCCTCCCCTAAGTTCCCCGCGTCAGACACTTAGGATAATGCTAAAGATTAATAAAATTTTATGTTGAGGATCACCCATATGTTCTACAATATACTTTTCCAAGATGTGAATGACCTACCAAAAAACTCTCAAATGTTAATTTCATGGGCTATAGGTCACAGGTCCTTGCATGGCCTCTGACCTTTGTTTAAAAACTAAAAATGCCTATTGTGTGAAATCGATCTGTAATTTGCGACATGATTTTTTTATCTCTAACTGTTGTCATTCCTTTGAAAAATTATGAAATTGCCTAATCAACATGCTTTTCACATCTACTGATGTCACTATTCTACCTTTTTAGTGTTCAACTGAACGGGTCAGGGTTGTTGAATGTAGGACTGCACTGCAGAAACTTCGTAAAGCTGATTATGTATTTCAAGATGTAAATAGCCTAATGAAGATGTTTTTTAGTTTTTTTGAATTCATTCGAATACTATGAGATTTAACTTAACATGACAGGGAAGTTAAATGAAGGACTGTATTTCATAAAGCATCTGATAGCCATGACATATTCAATTGAATTGTTTATTTATGATTCTTGAGGTCATGTAGGATATTAAAATGAAATGAGCTAATCTTTCTCCGATTCTAAGCAAGTTTGTGCTTGGGATCCTCGCTCATATGAAGTTAGTTATTTGGTTTGTTCACTCAAGTTTTTTTCTACAACAAATAATTAGTATAGGTGGATTATAAAATATAAGAAATTCAAGAAGTATGAGGGTAAGCAGCACAAGTCTACCACCCATCATATGGTCAATAATTTTTTCAAAAATTATCTTTTCATATTTTCTCCCTTGCTTTGGTTATTAGGTTGATGTTTTTAAGAGGGACATTAATTGCTTTTTTATTGGGATTCTGCAAGGGTTCATTTAGCTACGGGATTCATTTATAAGCTATGTTTGAGTCTCATTACTTTTTAAGTTAATTCATATGGAAAGTTCTTGGCATGACGTGGCATTTATTATGCATATTACTGACAGGCAAGATAATTTCAGATTTTTTGGGCTCCAGAGGAGTTGGATATGATTCGGCAAACCTCAACATATCATGAAACTGTCAACTTGAAAACTTTCTTAGCAAGAGAATTTTCAGCTCTAAAGCCTGTGAGTAATTATTTCATTTAGCTGTTGATTTAACTCGCTGTAAAGCTTCTGTTTATGCTACGTTTTTGTTCTCTACATGTTCTTTATTTATGTTAAGCGGTTCTTGCTAAAGCAGTCTCACTGTGAAATCTCCACGTAGAAAGGTTTGAGGCATATCAAGTTATGCATAAGAGGATAGAAACTTTTATGTAGAATATTGTTGTCCTTCGTTTTTTTAGTTAGCCTCTTTTTGGGTGTGAAACTGGAATATCGAAGGCAATGATGTCAATCTGCTACATGGAACTACTCAGCTATTAAGTTTTATAAAGTTTTAGGACTATTTGATTGTTGATCAAACTTCTGTAAAAGTGTTCCTCGCTTTTTCTTCTCCCTTCAGCTCTCTTGCAAAGGCTCTCAGGCAAAATCACTCAGATAAAAAAAAGCTTTTTGTCTACCTCTCCCTTTCCACTATTTTGCTGGGTAGCTTGGGAAAACCTCACTAAGATGAACCAAAATTGGGATGGAGTTCATGGGTATCTTACTTGCAACCCATTCACGTCTTTTAATGCAAGATGGAGCACAATTTTGGGTAGATATTTTGTGAGTTTGTGCAATTACCCCTCATTAAACCTCTTATCACCTTTATTAGTGTGCTTGAATGGATTTCATAGGTTGTGGTGTCCCATGCATCGCATCGAAGATGCTTTTATCAGCATGATGAGATTGCCTACTTCCATCACCTTTTGTGGGGGTGATAGAATAGTTCCTAAATTTTACTTTAAACTTTGGAAAAAAATTATATGAATGCTGAGTGAAAAGACGATCAGGGATGAGCATGAACACATGTTTGTTGCAATATTAAAAAAACAAAAAGGAATTATATTGAAAGTCGTTTAAGAAAAATTAATATAAAATTATTTTGCACAAATTTAGTAACTTGCCACCAATGATAAAGGCTCAAACAAAAGCAAACACTGATGAAAATGAACAAAACGGTGCTAACAAAATGGTGTGCTGAAAAGTGCACAAAATAGTTTGTCATAAAGCATTCAAATTGGTGTATCATAAAATGTGGAAAGTGGTGCGGCATGCGATACAACATATCAGTAAGTGTATGACAATATAAAAAAAGCGTGTTACAACATGCATACATATGCATCTCTATAAACTCTGATTATCAATTTAGTGTTAAAAATTTGAACTGAATAGCTCCTAAATAAATCCTTGACACAAACCAAGTTGCATTGAAGGGGTTCACCCTTCACACTTTTTGATGAGAACGTTATTTCTTTTCTGTTTCAAAAGTTGTGAAATCTTATTTTTTTTTCCGTGTTTGCGTTAAAGATTATGTCCTTGCTTCTGCAAAGTAGGTCGTGAAGTTCTAAATTAGACACTACATATTTTTTAAAGCACAAAAATATCAAAAATAACAGAGAAATTTTGAAACATGAAGAAATGCTAAATTACAAAAGGCCAAAAGGAACAAGCACAAATAGATGGATGAAAAACTTTTTTAAAAAAGGAAGCTTAGAAAAATTTTGAATAATTCCAATAATCATGTTTAGTGTCTAGGACCTTTTTGAGACTGCAGCAAATCATACAACCCTATTTTTCACCCATTATAAATTATATAAATACTAAATTCTTGAGGATATAATGAATTCAATATGAATATCAAGAAAATATATAGGGTCTACTAGGCCTTATCCTTTGCATGTTATAGGAAGAGTTGCTAGGGCTTGCATTCCAATTATTGTAGAAATTGCGAAGGAATAATTACGAGTCCATAGACCGCCCTATTCATACATATAGTGTAGGGTTGTAAGTTCTCTATTATTAGAGTTGTTAGTGGGTCCATAAACTATTTGTGCCCGACCTTCTATAGATGAGGGTGCATGACCCATAACTTGATTACCGACTATGTCCTTATCCTCTTCTTATGAAGGCTATAATTGGTAGGGCCTATGGCATGACAATTTTTAAAGCGTAATTTCTTTTTCATGATTGACATAATTGATGTAGCAAATAAAGAAGAATATAAAATTTGCGTATGTCTAGAATAGGTAATACAAGTTGAATTCTAGTGTGATGTGAGTCTTAAATATTACTCACAATAGAAACAATAACATAGAAACAAAAGATAAAAAAAAAATCTTATTAACATCTCTTTTTTGGTGCCAATATGCCAGCCCCTCAAAATGAAATTAAAGCAATCAAGTTTAGTCCTTTGAGTTATATTCTTTTGATCGACCATACAAATCAAGTTCCACTCGGTCACCACTCCATCACCAACAAATCAAGACAAGGTTTTTCTATTTTCTTACCCTTGAAGCAATTATTAATATCTCAACAAATGGGTTTAAATTTCAATAAATTTGCCCACAAGAAATCAAAAAGTTGAAGACTCCAAGTGCCCTTTGACAGGCAAGGTTAGTAGAAGAACATAACCATAGGGAGCAACATGTACATGAATCGAAAATACACAAAATGTGAAGTTATAAAATGTCGATAACTTTGGCCTATTAAAGAGTTCCAAAGATCGTGGAAGAAGAATTTCAAAGCTCATAAAATTTTAGCAAGTCGAGATTAGAAAGTAAAAGAATGGTTAATTCTCTAACCTAGAGCCAAACGAGAAAAAGATGTTTGAGCTCTTTAATTTACTAACAATTTTCTTCACTAATTTGGCAAAAGTTGTTTGTGCATGTTAGGCTTTCACTTTACACACATGTTTATTGAACTAAGTTCGCGAAGCTCCTCCAATTCAACAAGCCCCAAAAATGCAAATTAAAGTAGGCATCCTAGAGGTTTAAGAATCGTATGATTGGATTGAATGTGTCAACCTAATAAGGTCTTAATTTCGACGATGCCGTGTGTAGTTATTCAAATATTACAACTAGAAGGATTTATCATCTAAATAAAGCACTCAACCATGAAGACACACTTTAAGCTTTCATCAGGATAATGATTTCGACTGCCAGAAAATTATAATCGAAAAAATTACAACTTAACATCATGCTCTTAATTAAAAAGACAAACACCTCAAGCAATAGTCCCCGGTGGGGTTGGTTATTAGAATATCATTACATTAAGTGTTATGCTTTTGATTGTAAGGATAAATGTTTCTAGCAATGTTCCCTTATGCTTGGTACAATTATCGATAACCAATGAGGATTCTCATCGAAAACATGTTTTCAAATTCTAAGACATTTTGGGCTCTTTTTTTGGTGATGGGCTTAATCAAAGCAAAATTATAACTTGAGGGAACTTCATTCAAATTGAAGCCAACTTTGCATTCAAAGAGTCATACATTCATCCTCTGCAATAGTTTATCAGGTGTAATAAAATTCTATTTAGTCGAAGCTCACAGGAACTAATGTCTATGGCCACACATAAAAATCACATGCTAGTAAGAATGTGGCATGCCACCCATGATTTGTTTTGTAACCTAATTACAATGACAACATCATATACTAGTTTCTCAATGATAAACTTATGAGTTTTGAGCTATAAATCACACTAATAAGGTTGTCTTAAATTTAGGCAATTTGACAAACTTTCATCATATTCTATGGAGTTCTTTTCAATGACACTACTCATTATTGTTGATAGTGATTCTTTAATTAGGTAGGGTTGACTATCTGTGTTAACTAAGAGATTAGGGTTTATGATAACTTAGATGATGGACTAATGAGATCTCAATTGGGTTGGTCATTATTCCTTGTCATACATCATATGCGGATAGCAATATATTCTTTTCCTAATCCAAATTACTTTTGCTAAATCAAAGCACTGTAGTGCTTATTGACTAATCTTAATTAAAACTCTCGTATGATTGAGAGGGGTGATCAAGTATAAAAGCTTGTGTTTATGGAAACCTTAAACTAAAAATTAAGGTCTTCACAAGAGGGTAAAATCTTGGGGAAGTGTCTTATTTAAAATCAATCTACGTTTTGAAATTTTGAACTAGAGTTGCTCGAGTTTGGTATAAATTTTCAGAGTGCAATAATGGGCTTAACCTCATTTCAATTAGTTTTAAAAAATGTTATTGGCCATACTTCCTATTGACCCTCACCCGTTAACCAAAGGGTGGGGAAGATATGTGTTTAGGGTTAAATAGTTAGATTATTGTTCTCACTTGATCCTTAGCAATTCTCACTCCTTACAAAACATATAAATATGTAATAGTGTATAGCATGCAACAAGTACCAATTTTCTTTTTTCTTGTTCATAGTGAATTTGTTGCAGGTGCTCAAAATATTGCAAGATGCATACCTCGAAATTTCATTTAATCTTTATTCATTTACCTGTTTAATTTATAAATCATTACCATACCGTGCCCATTAATAGTCTCTATTTATGTTCCTGATGGATATTTAGAATTTTTACCTTTTTTACCTTGTTTAGTTAGTAGATCAAGTCAAATAGTGTAAATCTCGTACAAGAAATCTTGTAATAGCTAAATTATTAAAATAGGATTCTTTATACTTTCAACTATGGAGTCCTTTTCTGCATATTTAATCTATTGTATTTTAGAATATGGTGTTTTGAGAAAGATCATGTAAACTTGAAGTTTTTTATTTGAGACTTGAATAAGCTCATATAGAAATATTGAAAGTTAATGTTTTGTTCATTACTAATTATAAAACTTAGGAGAAATCAAATCAAATGAATCTAAATTTAAATTGCGCAAATTATTAGATGTTCTCTCTAAATAGCACACCATTCTAGCATGATTTTGGTGAGAAGTAGGTAATAATTTTGTTAGGATGTCATTTTTAAGTGATACATCACAATTTATACCGATTTTGGTAAAAAATAGGCAAGGGTTTGCAAAGATGTCACCTTTAAATGTCTCATGAGTAATGCAACATAAATTGATTTTAACGACAAGGACGGTTTAATTGAGCCGAGTGCTAACTTTAGACATGCAACATAGATTTAGGGACTTTGAATGAGACTTTAAATATTGTTTGTTTATAAGAAACAAACGGGAATTAGAAAAATTTAAAGATGTTTGGGAG